CTATGTGTATGTGTGTGTGTATGTACATATACAATTATTATACAGGATTTAAATAGCACCAACAGTTTACACAGCGCTTTACAACATAAGGACAGAGTACAAATACAATGAAATTCAATAATTCAATACAGTAGGAATCAGAGGGCCCTGCTCATTACAGCTTACAACCTAAGATCGAGGGTCAAGAGACTGTACTAACTGTGGAGGATGAGCTGATGGAGAAAGTGGAAATACAGTTTTAGGTGTGGGCAGGATAGGCTTCTCTGAAGAGAAGAGTTTTCAGGAATCGTCTAAAAGTGGACAGAGTAGGACATAACTGGACAGATTGAGGTAGGGAGTTCCATAGGATGTGAGAGGCTTGGGCAAAGTCCTGGAGGCGGGCATTGGAGGAGGTGACAAGGGAGCTATAGAGTAGGAGGTCCTGGGAGCAACAAAAGAGAATGATTTGGGGAGGGGCTCTGAAGTCACCACGTTCTGTCGGCCAGCTAACGGCGAGTATTGTTAGTGTGAAGACCACACACAAAGGCATTTATCACAGGCGCATTTTGATTGTTTTTAATGTGAGTGCAATTGCTCATTTGATTATTAAAATGTTTAAAAGGATAAGACACTATTTCTCGTTTTCTTTTTGATACCATTATATGGAGTTCTGGAGGGGATATATAGACAAATAGACCCCTGGAGGTGAGAGTGAGGAATCCTTCCATATCCATCTTATTAATCAGCATTGTGGAGAGACACCAGGTGGATCATTAGCATACAACAACGTGCAACCAGCTGAGTGGGAGATCTGAAGCAGGAGTAGTTTTCATCTGTCCTGTCAGGACAAAAAGTGTTTTTTGCCTATTTATATATTAGGCAAAAATTGGAGGTGAGCGCAATATATATATTAATATTCATCTGTGTTTTTCCCCATTTGGTGACACGAGTTTTTTTTTGATTTATCAAGAGGACTGTTCATTTAACACAGAAATTGTTTGTACCAAGGCTATTATATTGTTTTTGTTATTTTAATATGTTTTTGAGTATAGAGTTTGATTATGAACTGATAATCACTGTTGCAAGTTTTTTTTATATAATTAATTTAGCACGTGAGCGCAGCACTAAATATTATTATTCATTAATAATAAAATTTTTATTTTTTAAAGAGAATGATTTGGTTGGTATTTTGAGACTAAGTTAGTGATGTAGCTGGGGGCCGAGTTGTGGATGGCTTTGTGTGTGTATAATCATTTAAAACATTAGCACACATCATTTAAATTATTTACATTAAGTTGATCTCTTTTACAGGTATATTGGAAAGACTAAACATTCCCTATAAAACTTACAAGAAGTTAAATGTCTGGTAAATTCCCTCTGCATATTTCTATTTAATTACCCCAGATTATTTTAAATGTGTGTTCTTTTTAATAGGAAATAGCAGTGTGGCAGACTGCTCAAGTCTTTTCCGTTGTTTTTATGCTGTTATGGTGGCATAGAAGCAATAAATGAGAACTGGCGGACGAAGAGAGTAAATGAATAGAACATTTAATATTAAAGTAAAATGAAAAGTCCTTTACTGCCAATTCTTGCAGGAAAATGAGTCAGTTAAAAAACATCAGTGATCTATTTACAACTTACTAGTTCGTGTGCTATTTTTTATGCCATTGAATAGCCTGTGAGAAGTATTTGGCTGATGGAGGCAAAAGTCTGGTAGAAAAATAATATTCAAGAGATGTTCAGACAGAAGGACCATAACATAGCTAGGGCCATAAAATGAAGATGTTCAGCTGTCCAACAAGCAAAACTCCACTTCTGTTAAAAAAAAAATAATATAACATATATAAATGCTAAACAACACATTTTGTAATTTAGGACTTAACGCGTAAGGCAGAGTCACAAGTGTGAGGTCATCATGCTTAGGAGTATTCCCAAGAGTTTAAGGAAGCAGGGTTGATCTGTATTAGCCCCAGAGAGTGTGGTATGAGAATTTGATAAGCAATCCATTTGCCTATGTGAATGTGAGTGTTCCATTTGCCTATGTGAATGTAAATGTTCTTACGGGATAAACTCCACTCCAAGTCATATTGCAATTGAATGTTATTAAAAATTGCCTTTCCTTTTCAATCTGCAGTGCTGTAATTTTCTGCAAAATGCAATGAATTAGGCTACCTGGAGGTGTTCTGTACACCGATTACGTACAGAACTCCCCCCAGCAACATCATTTTCTGCTTGTGTGATTGGCTTACTGATTTTCTCAGAAGTCTGCACTAAGATACAAGTCAGATTTCAGGCATCCCCTGCAAAAAAAAATTTCATTTTTGGTGTGAGATACTTCCATTAGGAAATCACGTCTAAAGAGATGCAGACCCTGCAATTTTTTACATTAGAGTCCTGCAGGTGCAGCAGCTGTTTGATAATTAGGAAATCACTCCCATTAGATTCACTTTCAACATGGACACAAACAAGCATCTATTCAGAATAACAAAAGGTAGGACTCTACTACAGGGCGGCACGGGTGCACAAAATCACACACACACACATATATATATATATATTATATATATATTATGAGTGAAACAGAAGTATTTGAACACCCTGTGATTTTGCAAGTTCTCCCACTTAGAAATCATGGAGGGGTCGGAAATTCACATTGTAGGTACATTCCCACTCTGGGAGACAGAATTAAAAAAAAAACAAGTTCAGGGAACCGAGAGAGAGCTATGCATCTGCAACAAGGTTGGCTTAAAAAAAAACATTTTTAATGTGTATAATTCAATAGAGTAAACTGTGTTATTCTCAACAAGACATGAGTTACAATTGTAGGGCCAGTTCAACACTACATGCATTTCAGTTGCTTTTTTTCTGAATCTAAAACGGACAGCAATAAGTTATATGGTTGTCAATGCCATAGTTCATATCAGTGCTTGCAGTTCCAGTGCGTTCCGGATGCAGAAAAAAAAGTAGAACAGGCTGTATTTCCTGCACAGAAACTGTACTGGAACGCGGTAAAAAGCATCAAAAAAGCACCGGAAAGCACCAAAAATGCACTGGAATGCACATGTCCCTATTTAAATTGAAGAAAAAGAGAGGGGAAAAAACTAACTGAACACATCAAAAACACACTGGAACACATAAAAAATGCACCAGAATGTGCCAAAAATGTGCATGCAGAAACGTATCCAGAATGCATATGGACTGCGTTTCTATAGTTTGAACCAGCCCTAAAAGTGGTTTCCATATTAGCTATAGGCTAAAGAGGGTGATGCTTGATGGAAAATGGAAGAGTTTGTTTATACTGGGCATGGTTCAAGTAGAGTATTTGGAACTTGTGTATGTGGGTGTTTCTGTCAAGCACAAGCTTTTAAATCTGAACATAGAGAAACACAAAAAGTTAATGACCTGTGTTGCCTGTAATGCAAGTGCATTGCCTTGGGGACATGCTGTGTTCATACTGTAGAAATGCAAAGCAAATCAGGTCAAATGAGATTGATTCATCTTGAAACACGCGTCAAACACAGGTAAACAATGCCTATGTATACAAGCCCTAATAGGGATTATTGGTCCTAATTTTTTATTACTACAGTGAGCCTTGTGTATAAAAAGAATAAAAAGTGTATGCTGGTCACATCAAACAGACAGTGTAGACATGGTTGGTATGGATAACAGATCACTTTCAAAACTTTTTTTTAGGCTTGGCTTTGGGGATTGAGAAGGTGTGGTTGAGAAAATAATGAGGAGCATTTTGTGATGATAGTCTGTGAAAGTATTTTACAGCATACCCTCTATGCTCATCTCGTTTAGGCCTTGAGTGGGCAAGAAGACGTTATCACTGCTGCATTTTCCAATGCTGTACCTTCATTTTGTCCAATCCAGTTTTCTAAACCTTGTCAGCTTCTTCTGGTATTAGGTAGGGTCATTCTTGAGTATTCTGCTTTGGGTTAGTTACTGCTGACTCTATCTATTGTAAATTGTACAGTGCTGGCTCACAGGTGTAATCAGAGACAGAAGCAAACTCTGAACAGGTGTGAAGGATTATAGTTTTAAAGGGGCCCTGGGGGATGACCTTGCTATGTTATAAAAAATTAGATACGCAATTTGTAGGCGTAGTGTAGTCTTGTTTCGTGATTGTGTAGACCATATCCTAAATGTTGCCTTTAGGCAGGAATTCTATGTGGAAATAGCATGCGATATCACCACAGAGAATGTAGTTAAATAGTAACAGACCCATCAGCCTTAGTCACTAGTAACATTATAAGAACTACCACCAACATTACAATATCCTCCACTACACTGCCATTAAATATTATATCATGCAAATCTCATTTTAATCCCCATGCTTTAAATTGCATCCAGCATTGCTCACATTTATTCTAGCTAGAGGCCACCATTTTATTAAGCCCAGAGCAGTCACTTCCTTTCTGTAAACTATCCCCCTCTCCTTGGTCTCAAAAACGATGTTAGCTTCTTCAATTAAAATATCAGCCTTGATACACTATATCGGCAAAAGTATTGGGACGACTGCCTTTACACGCACATGAACTTTAATGGCATTCCAGTCTTAGACAATAGGGTTCAATATTGAGTTGGCTCACTCTATGCAGCTAAAACAGCTTCTGGGAAGGATGTCCACAAGGTTTAGGAGTGTGTCTATGGGAATGTTTGACCATTCTTCCAGAAGCGCATTTATGAGGTCAGGCACTGATGTCAGACTAAAAGACTTGGCTCGCAGTCTCTGCTCTAATTCATCCCAAAGGTGTTCTATCGGGTTGAGTCAGGAGGTCAGGCTTTTCAAGTTCCTCCACCCCAAACTCACTCATCCATGTCTTTATGGACCTTGCTTTGAGCACTGGTGCGCAGTTATGTTGGAACCAAACTGTTCCCACAAAGTTGGGAGCATGAAATTGTCCAAAATGTCTTGGTATGCTGATGCCTTAAGAGTTCCCTTCACTGGAACTAAGGGGCCAAGCCCAACCTCTGAAAAAAACAACCCCACACTATAATCCCCCCTCCACCAAACTTTACAGTTGGCACAATTTAGTCAGACAAGTACTGTTCTCCTGGCAACCGCCAAACCCAGACATGTCCATTGGATTGCCAAACAGAGAAGTGTGATTCGTCAGTCCAAAAAACACATCTTCACTGCTCTAAAGTCTAGTGGCGAGTGCTTTACACCACTGCATCTGACACTTTGCATTGCACTTGGTGATATAAGGCTTGGATGCAGCTGCTTGGCTATAGAAACCCATTCCATGAAGCTCTCTACACACTGTTGTTGCGCTAATCTGAAGGCCACATGAAGTTTGGAGGTCTTTAGCTATTGACTCTGCAGACAGTTGGGACTTCTGCACTGTGCGCTTCAGCATGTGTTGACCCGCTCTGTTGACAGTGGCTGAGTTGCTGTTCCCAGTTGCTTCCACTTTGTCATAACACCACTAACAGTTGACCGTGGAATATTTAGTAGCAAGTTAATTTCACGGATGGACTTATTGCACAGGTGGCAACCTATCACGGTACCACGCTTGAATTCACTGAGCTCCTGACAGCGACCCATATTTGTAGAAGCAGTCTGCATGCCTAGGTGCTTGATTTTATACACCTGTGGCCATGGAGGTGATTGGAACACCTGAATCCAATGATTTGGAGAGGTGTCCCAATACTTTTTGGCAATATAGTGTATGTCATGGCCAGGGGCGGACTGACAACTCATGGGGCCCCCGGGCAATAGGGGATTATGGGGCCCCTGTGTCCTTGCCCAAACTCAAAAAAGCCTATGAAAAAGGTACCAGGAGCATCTCATGGGGCCCCCTACTGACCCCGGGCCCTCGGGCAGTGCCCGAGTTTCCAAATGGTCAGTCCGCCCCTGGTCATGGCTGAGTTAGAGAGGAAAGCTGACAGAAGCTACAGTGCTGAATTTCACATACTGCCAATGAGGGGGAAAATAGAGAATATCAAGGAGATAAGATAAGACACTATCTTTGTAAGTTTAACTATTTTGTGTCTCCCTGACAGCAGAGTCTGTCCTGTCACCTTTCCTGCTTCTCTTTTCTCCCTCCCTACCCAGTGTTTTCTCTGCACAGTCTGTGTCATTCCTGTTGCTTTCTTTCCCCTTCAGCAACAGTAAATCTTGAGGCTGTCAGCTGATCGGCCTGTAGTGGCTCTGACTTTAAGCACAGTGCCAAGAATAGAGAGCAATTGTGCAGAGTAGGGTGACTATGGTGACTTTATGTTATTACTTCTACACAAAATATTTCTCTAGTTTTGCATCCTATTGACTTTGATGGGGTTCAGTTAACCAGTTGGAAGTGTTAGACATGCCCCAAAAAAGTCATCATTGTACACTTCTGCCCTGCTGCCAGGACCTCCCCTGTCCTAGTACTAGACAATTCAGATCTTTCCCCTCTGCTCCCCCCCCCCCAAAAAGTACCAAATGTGGCTGTGGAGGAGGGGGGTGCAAACAGAAAGAGCTTCCCCTTTTATGTAGAGCTCCGCTTTAAAGTTCAGGGTTCACAGATTTCCTGCTGAGGTCATACAACCCAGTTTAAACTGAACCTGAGATGATTTTCCCACCCATAAATGTGACTCTACAGCAGCACCAGTATCATCCTCACTCCTGCAGTCCAGCATATCTCTCAACATTAACATCAAGACTGCTGTAACCCCCAAATAGCCGAATATTTGGTTTATTGCCAGTCTGCAATGTACACAACAATACTGCTGTTTGTCATGCTTAACACCCTCCATGTTCCAATTTGCATTGCATGGGCAGTGCAATCTTCGTGGATGCCAAGCCCTGTTATGGCAAAGGCAACCTTTGCATCTTTGGCTTTCCTGCTTTACAGGGGGGCTTGCTATGGAGATCTGTACTAGGCATTTTCTGATATAGCAGCTCTTGTACCTTATTTTTTTTTAAGTCCGCAAACGTGCAACTATAACGAAAAAAACCCGTAAGTGTTCACAAAAAAATGTGCAAGTGCAAAACACCACACGAAAAAGTGCACTTAGGGGTGTGTTTGTCCTACCCCCGGAAGGGTTGGACCGTTCACCCATGGGGCACGAAGCTCCTGACAGGGACAAGGTTCCCATTTGGTCCTCCTGGCCAAAAGGCCTGGTGGACCACCGTTCCTTATGCCCAGCCGAAGCCGGACATCCAGTACTAGGCGAGGGGGTTCTCCCGAAGAGAAAACCCCCTAGGGATCAGGGGAGGAAGGAACCGTAGGGCCACACATCCTCCCCCTAGACTTCAGGTAAGGCCCGAGGACCCACACCCTCCATCCGTGAAATACACACACATAAGAACAGAAAAAGTGACAAGACGTGGGAGTGATTAAATTAAATAAATAGAAAATAAAAAAGTGGTACCGTGCCAAATAGTGCACAGACCAGGCCCTGAGGCCTGTAGCAAAAATTGCCCCGGACTTAGCCAAAAGACCTGGTCCTTAGGGCGCTGTGCAAAAAGAAGTGAAAAAACAGTGGCCATGTGTCATTTTCACACCGTGGGGTCCCACACCCAAGTGTTTTGACTAGTGACACCCCTGAGAGCGTCTTCCCCAGGGGGCACTGAGTTTGCGGACTTTTTGCGTCCCCAGCCCCAGGCCAGACCAAGGTAGATCCGTCCGAATCAGGAGGTACTGGGGTCTTTCCAGTTTCACACCAGAGGAATTACTCCCAAGGCCCCAGAGCTCATCATGGCGCTCCCTGGTTTTCTGTCCCTCCGGTTCAGCCTTCCGGACCCCCATCATACCAGTGAGGGTACTATACAACAACCATCCCCGCAAAGCTAGAATGGTCGGGAGCACCCCCACTGGACACTGATAAGAACAGATACTACACTTGATCTTAGCCAAAAGCCGAGAGAAGCGAGCAGCTCTTGTACCTTATACATCAGTCACTAAAGTAGAAGGGCTGTGTGATGGAGCCTGGTAGGCCCAATGCATCAACAGAGCTGACAGCCAACTAACAAAGGGGTTATATACAGTGAAGAAAATAAGTATTTGATCTCCTGCTGATTTTGATGTTTGCCCACTCACAAAGAAATAATCAGTCTAAAAATCGAATGGTAGGTGTATTGTAACACCGAGAGACAGAATAGCAACAAATAAATCAAAAGAAATGCATGCCTAACAAATTATGCACTGATTTGCATGCTCATGAGGGAAATAAGTATTTGATCTCCTTCACAAAACATGACTTAGTACTTGGTGGCAAATCCCTTGTTTGCAAACATAGAGGTCAGACGTTTCCTGAAGTTGGCCACCAGGTTTGCACACATCTCAGGAGGGGGGATTTTGGCCCACTCCTCTTGGCAGATCCTCTCCAAGTCATTAGGATTTGGTGGCTGACGTTTGGCAACTCGAACCTTTCAGCTCCCTCCACAGATTTCAATCGGATTAAGGTCTGGAGACTGGCTAGGCCACTCCAGGACCTTAATGTGCTTCTTCTTGAGCCACTCCCTTGTTGCCTTGGCCATGTGTTTTGGGTCATTGTCATGCTGGAACACCCATCCACGACCCGTTTTCAATGCCCTGGCTGAGGGAAGAAGGTTTTCACCCAAGATTTGACGGTATATTGCCTGTCCATCGTCCTTTGATGTGGTGCAATTGTCCGGTCCCCTTAACAGAAAAACACCCCCAAAGCAGACTGTTTCCACCATCATATTTGACAGTTGGGATGGTGTTCTTGGGGTCATAGGCAGCATTCCTCCTCAAAACATGGCAAGTTGAGTTGATGCCAAAGAGCTCGATTTTGGTCTCATCTGACCACAGCACTTTCAACCAGTCCTCCTCTGCATCATTCAGATGTTCAGTGGCAAACTTCAGATGGGCCTGGACATGTGTTTTCTTGAGCAGAGGGACCTTGCAGCACTGCAGGATTTCAATCCTTGTCGGCGTAGTGTGTTACCAATTGTTTTCTTGGCGACTGTGGTCCCAGCTGCCTGGAGATCATTGACAAGATCCTCACGTGTAGTTCTGGGATGATTCCTCACTATTCTCATGATCATTGACACTCCACGAGGTGAGATCTTGCATGGTGCACCAGACCTAGGGAGACTGACAGTTGTTTTGTGTTTCTTCCATTTGCGCATGATTGCACCAACTGTTGTCACCTTGTCACCAAGCTGCTTGGCGATAGTTTGGTAGCCCAGTCAGGCCTTGTGTAGGTCTACAATCTTGTCCCTGGCATCCTTGGACAGCTCTTTGGTCTTTGCCATGGTGGAGAGTTTGGAATCTGATTGTTTGATTGCTTCTGTGGACAGGTGTCTTTTATACAGGTAACAAAATGAGATTAGCAACACTCCCTTTAAGAGACTGCTTCTAATCTCAGCTTGTTACTTGTTTGAAAGACACCTGGAAGCCAGAAATCCTGCTGAATGATAGGGGATCAAATACTTATTTCCCTCATGAACATGCAAATCAGTGTATAATTTGTTAGACATGCATTTCTTTTGAATTTTTTGTTGCTATTCTGTCTCTCGTGTTACAATACACCTACCATTCAATTTTTAGACTGATAATTTCTTTGTGAGTGGGCAAACATTCAAAATCAGCAGCAGATCAAATACTTATTTCCTTCACTGTATTAGAGTAAATTGGAATATGTTGATCAGCATATTTGTTTCTTTACCAACACCAACTTGCTGTGCATTGTACTGTCTAATGATAATTATGGTGAGCTTACAGAAGTGCATGTAATTAAGGAATCTTCTGATGGTCTCATCAGTTCCTAATGGGACAGTTAGTTTTACCTACAAAGATAAGGGCCTGGCTCAAATTTTAGTCAGAGGCGTCATCTTTTTCAATGTCTTTTTTCTAAAGGTTTGGCAATCCTAGAAGTACTTAGTTGCCCTTACATTTCAAGAACTAGTTTAGACTATAGCAAGACAAGCAACAAATGATTACAAAGCAAAGTCCCCTTACTTAAAAGAACAAACTGAAATCTATGGTTCACAAAACATAATGACCAGCTACAACATGTCCAGCCATGGACTGCACCCAAAGTGGCCCAGTGAGGCTAAAATAGTCATCAAGTAATCAGATGAACAAATACAGTCCTATGCAATGCATAATCTGGTCAATGGATGGAAGGACTCAAGAGAGGTTTTGAGCTAATTTCTAATACATATAAACATTGATATAATAGTTCCAAGGGTAGCCACAGTACTCTGTTTGAAGTGCCAAGGTGCTCACCTACAAAGAAATCCATTTAAATCCAAAACTGGTGAAGAGGCACTCATGAGTCTTTCAGACGAGGGGTTGTACTGCATAGAGAAAGCTACAAAGTAGTGTGCAAACATTTAGCCAAAATATATTTTTAAAAAGTTTTGGATTTTGATACCTTTAATACAGCTATGCCATTACTCACTGATATGGGTTTAATTATTCTTAGTGATATTGCTATGAATCTTTAAGGTTTAAATTGAAGAAATAAAATAAAATTAAAATTGAATCTTTCCTGTGTGCAGAAACAGCCTGTCAGCTTTATATTTAGGCAACAAATATCAATAGCTAAAAACAATTGTTTCCTTTTTGTGAAAAAGGAAGTGAAAAGTGCCCATTAGTGTGTATTAATAATGACATTAAT